GTATGATAGATAGATAGATAGGCTAGATGTAGAAAAAAAAGGCATGAGAAAAACATTGCCTTACAAACCTCAAGACTTAATAAAAGAATTACATATTTTACATATGAAAGCATTGTAATGTTTACTGATAAACTGCCAAATTTTGTTAACATTCGCTTACTAATTTAAAAGTTACAGCATGAAAACTATAACAAGCACAAAAAGGTTAGTCCCAGGGACTGAGCCCGGGTTGAAAGAGTTAATTGGGATTTATAAATCTTCACTATACATAGTGTTTCTTGCACTTTTTGTCAAAGGTTGTGATTTTTAATTTTAAAGAAAAAAAGTACAGAGCTGTGCAAAATCCAACTGCCTTTAATGTGGAGAGTTCTTGATCAAATTACAATCCTCTCACATTTTTCAGTTAGTTAGAGTCATGGACTTTTGTGATAGACCCCCCTAGTGACCAATTTATACTTAAGTCTCTTTTCTTCAAATTTCTTTTGAGGACTCTTTTCCTTCCTGAATTTTCTGTTAATTCAAAATTTTATATTTCTCTCTTGACTTGTGTTTGATTGTTACTACACATTTGCTTTGTGATCACTATGTTTTCACCCCTCACCCAAGATTGGCCTTGAGTTAGAGATTGCACCTTGCTCTCTATCTAGAGTTACAGTACTGTATTTGAAAACACATTTGTTAGAGTCATAATAGTATTAAAGTAATTGATATCCTTTAGGTATACCTTAATTTTTTTTTCTTTCATACAGTCATTTCTTAAAAGAATGGCCTCGACATTTATCTTGGCTAACGTGTATCATATTGAGCTTATCATTAGAGGTAGAAGTTAAGGTTTACAAATCTCATAGTATCAACCCGTGGGAAAAGTGTGAATAAAAAGCTTGCTTCTGTAATTATGTTCATCATTCTGGGTTGTTTTCCGAGGTGTTGAACTTATTAACTTCATTTTTCTTCTAGGTGGATTCTGTAGAACTGACCCATGTTTATTATTTCAGCTTGTTCCTTGGATGATATACTAAACAAATCTATTTTAAGTTTTACAATTTGGAATCTGAGAGAAATCTGAGTAACTGTATTCATTATCTAGCTAGAATGTATGGTAGTGAAGTGAAAAATTGTATTTTTCTTGTTCTAGATGGAGTCTGGGGGTACTGTACTAAGCACCAATTGGCAGGAAGTAGGCTCTAAACATGTTGAAGTCAAACCACCAGATGGCATGGAGTGGAAGAAATGGGAATGATTTCATGTGGGTCACTCAGTTTTTGTGTTGGAGTGTATGTTGGATGAAGTGTGTGTATTACGCTTGTTTATAAATTACTGACATGAACTTGACAGTCTGTGAAGTAGACAATGTTAATCTTTTCTGAAGCATAAACATATTATGAATTCTTACATATTATGTATTAATATTATGTATGGGAGTGGTCTGTTACAAATGCATTTGTGTGGCTATTTTTTACTTTCTTAAAATAACATATAGAGATATAAGACAGCAAAGGTGCAACATCTATACATCCATAAAATATCATTATTATGTAATATGTTTCTAAATTTTTCTGTTTATTGTGGATTTATAGTTTTTTTTAAATAACAGTTCCGTCCAGTTCAATTATAGTGCCTGCGGCATGGAAAATCTTAGAACAATCAAGTATTTCTTTGGTTATTTACTCTATATCGCGGTCAAATACATTTATTTCTCAGTTGTTAACTTGCAATATTGTAAAGTTTAGCAAAACTTTATGTAAATTTTCATCAATGATACAAGTTTTCAGATGTATGTGGTCTTAATTTTTAAGGCTAAAATATTAATTTTCTGATGCTTTCATAAAAAATTTACCATCTATTCCACTGGTTTTATTTTTTCTTTATGCATCACTTATGCAGTTAACTTATCATACATTTTGTAGTCTGCAATGTTCAACTTATAATTTTAGGTTTAAAGCAATCGAAGAAAAACTTGTATTAGTTTTAAGCCATAGTAACTTGATGAATAAGGTTTTTTTACTCTAAGGGATTTCGCACATTTGGAAGAGCCAATAATCGCAAGGTGTTCTATCAGCTTGGTACTATCACAGTTTAATATTTGTTTCAAATTATATACCCATTATACCCAAATTATATGTGACAGTTTCACTGCAGGTATTTTGTTTTTAAATCAAAAGGAAGATTTTATTCTAAATTGAGGCATATAAATTGTTTGTAGATCCATTTCTTTTTAACCAGTTTTTCAATTTCTTTTTGAGATTTTTAGTAAAACCACCAAGAAATAGCAATACTATTATCAGTGACTGTTTGGGAACATCAAGTACAGAAACAACAGGAGTGGAGAATTTCTTTAAATGTTTCTTATTAATAAAGTTAATAAATCGTATATGATACCCATTGTCTTTGTAATACAGTTTTAATTCTGTGCATCTCTTATTGGTATTTTAAATGCTTTATGAATGAATAAAGGATTAATTTAAAAAGAACATTTTTCTTAAGCTGTCAAACTGGTCAGGAACAAAACTTGAAAAGAAAGTATGCAACCTGCTAAACGTTTTTTATGATAAAAATTAACATTCATATTTATTCTTCCACCCTGCATGAATTCTTTGCAACGATTGGTTGAGAATGCATCATGTGGTATAAACATTTTAAATGTTACTTTGAAAAGCTGGTCAGTAAATCTCATCACTGTTGCTCAGTTGTTAAGGCTGTTGCCATGCGTTCTTGATGTTGCAACAGAACTTGTCATATGATAATTTTTTGCAGCATATTGAAAACATGCTGATTCATTTTGGCCTAATGACAAACAATTTACTCAAACCCATAAAATGACTGAGGGCATATGACCATACGATTACTGTTACTCACAGATGAAGAGCTGTGGGGTTTTGTAGGCATCAGAACTTTGCAGACAATTTTTTGCAGCACAGTGGAAACATGCTTATTCATCTATCGTCATTTACAAACAGCTGGAAACATACCTTCAATATCAAGTAAGGGAAGGATAACATTACTTCTTCTTTTACAGTAAACAGTAAGCTTTTTGCATTGCTTATTAAGATATTCTAAGAATTTTTGAGCATGACTTTTATCATTCAACGTGATAAAAGTATCACTAACATATCTTTTATACAATATAGGTTCAAATTCACCAGGACATTTTCCCAACCATTCTTGTTCTTTAACACATAGAAAAAAATTGGCTGAGGTAGGGCATAATATTAGAGTCATAGCCAGACCACCAGCCTGGTTGTAAATTACATTATTAAACCCAAATTGTGACTGTTTGGTGGCAGATTCTAGTAATTTATAAAAGAGAAATCTTGTTAAACCCTTTAACCGTTTCTTTTTTCTTTGAAAGTCAAGTAACTAGCTGATTTTAATACTTCCTCCAATGTTATATAAGTATACAAAGAAATTATATCAAAATTGTTGCAGTAGTTATTTTTTACAAAATCGTTCAGAAAAGTTATTAACAAACCTTCTGATTTGCCATTATAAGTGGTTACATTAGAAATTTGCAAGTTTGTATCCCCATCACAGAACATGCTCATTCTTTCAGCCGCAGGGCGTTATAATGTTACTGTCAATCCCACTATTCATTGGTAAAAGAGTAGCCCAAGTGTTGGCAGTGGGTGGTGTTGACTAGCTGCCTTCCCCTTGTCTATCACTTCTAAATTAGGGATGGCTAGCACAGATAGCCCTCGAGTAGTTTGTGCAAAAATTAAACCCAATATTAGAAACAATAGGTTTAATTGGAACTTCAGCTTTATGAACTTTAGGTCACATTATTATGTTATACACATTAGCATCGATAAAAGCATTTCTTGTTTTAAGTTGTAAGAAATATTTCTGCAGATCATGTTATCTTTTCATTTAGATCTTTACTTAACAAATTTACTGTTGTTATTCAGAATGTCAAGAAGTTTTGATACAATAATTTTATATAACATCAATTCCATACCCTTATCTGTTTTTTTTTTTCATTACAATATCCTGTAACCTCTGTACACATTTCATGAAAATGAATATTATTAAGCAAAAAAAAAAAATATTTGGGTACTATGGAGTAATTTAAACCTTTTAGCTAACACTTTTTTCTCAAATACGTGAAGCTGATAATCGGAAAGATTGTGTTACTTTTCCTGGTTCATCTTTAAAAGGATTTCACCTTGGGATTTTGCAGATTTAACACAGTTCATAGAAAGTTAAAATATTCGTTTGATATTTAAAACACATCGATAATATGGAACAAACATAGTAAAAATAATCAAACAATAATACTGTTATTATAAGTCAGAATTTTACTCAGTTCCAGCAGTTAGTGTTTGCAAAGTATCTTGGTTAGACCTCATGTCAATCAGACATTTTTACTGACCAGATGGTTACAATTAAATATAATTTTTTCTCAATTGCACAGTAACATGAAAAAGAATGGTATTTACTGTTATCTTATTAAGAAAGGTTTTTTCTGATAACTGTTTCTTATCTTAAAATCATCTTCAAATATGTCTGTGCTTCTTAGAGAAAGGATAAATGTTTCCAGGACTTTAATGTAAGTAGGATTTCTTTTTAATCTTATCACAATCAAAAGTACAAGTTAATAAGAACAAGACAAGGCTTCAAGATTTAGTCGTGGAGTAATTATTATGCTCAATAATTAGTAGATTTGTTTGATAATATCATACATAATGCGTATGTTTGTTTTTTCAATAAAGGACTTTACTATGTGCAAGTGTTGTAGTTTTGTTTCATTTTTGGTATAGGCAAATCATGTTAAAAAAAATAAACTCAAGACTTGTATGTAAAATAAATGAGGTTTTATTACTATATCTACTTATGTTTTGAAACTAAGTATTTTCATTATTGGAGTGTTCTGAGTATTTGAAGACTATTTACTGATTTCTTGATTGAATAATTGTAAAATTAAGCTCACTCACAGGAGCAACAGTTGGACCTTCTCCTCGAACAAAAGCAAAGATTTTTTTAATTGCAGATTATAAGAAAATGGCCTTGAACTAAGAGTGGGAATTTCTGGTTGTGAACCTAATAAGATCATTCAGATTGAAGATAAGCATGGTATGACTAATACTGAAGGTACACATGATGAATAATTCAGCACAGAAAGAACTTTCTACTTCTAGCTATAATCAGTATACATTCTAGGAAACCATTGCTGGGGGGGGGGGTAATAAAAGCCCAAAGTATTGCCAGTTATTGTTTCTTTTTTTTGTTCCTTTTAGTTCAGTATTTGTTTTTAGGTATGAGACAAGATCATACTCGTAGTTCGATATACTGAACAAAATTGCCATGTGCTATTATACTATGTCTTCCAATAGCATATTTGCAATATAGAGCATAAACGCCTTCATATTGTAGGGTGATCCAATGAGAGATACCCCACCAATTTGTTATGGGAAGAATATCATACAATGAATATTTTGATTAACAATATTTCATTTTGTTTTTAGGTGAATTACTGATGATGGTTCCCTATCTAACACTGGAGGAAAAGAGAAATTGGTGGCTTGGATGGAAGTTTGATTCAGTTGCCTACATGCAGCATTTGTTTCAAGAAACATTTGGATGTTCTTTCCCCCCCAGTGCAAAACAATTTAGAAATTAAACAAGAAGTCGGTGAAATTGGGTCTGGTCAAACAGCATCCGGGAAGGCTGAATATCTTGCAGGCTCAAATAATATGTGCTACGGGTGCAGGATGCCTTGCGGAATAGCCCCTAGAAGTCCATCAGAAGAACAAGTCTGGAATTTAAATTATCTCATTTAACTGTATCCCAGGTTTTGCATGATGATCTGAACATGAGAGCTTAACATATTCAGGATCTTCATCAAATTAAAGACACAAATTTCCCTAAACAAGTGCAAGCATCACAAAAGATGATTACCGCATGTTAAGGTTTGAAGAGACGAAATCACTGCTGTCCTTTTTAGATGAGGCAATATTTTAACTATCTAGCCATGTCAACAAACATAACTATGATGTGGGGATACAGCAATCAGTTCCTGAGCAGGAGTATTCATGTGAATACCCCAGACTTAAGGTGCAGTGCATATTGTCTGCTGAACTGAAAGTGGGGCCATTCTTCTTCCCAAACAATATTGTAAATAGTGAGGATTGCCCGACACTATTGCAGGAGTTCTTTATTCCAAGTATACATCAACTTTTGATACTTCTCCATGAGGTTAGCTTCCAGAAGGACAGAACAGCCATACACACTGGTCAGTGACAGTCCATGAATGGTTAACTGACACATCTGCATGCTGGATAGACAGTGATGGCCCAGTGAAGTGACCCCCCTTGTTTACCAGATTTAACCCTACTTGATTTTATCCTGAGAGGTTATATTAAGGACAGAGTGTGCTAAAAGTCTATGAAGTCATACACAGAATTATCTAGTGATGCAGGCAGACTACCCCCCCCCCCCTAAGATCTTGGGGAGAGTGTACTATGAGACATTTACCAGATTTGAGAAGTACAGTGAAGTTGCTGGAAAATACACGGAAGCTTAAAACTGACATTATTACAAGCCACTTATTCTATTTCAGTGATGTACGTTTGTGTTGTTCATACATTATATTCTTACCTTAAGAAATCAGTGGAGTATCTATCATTGGATCACCCTGTACACATACAATATCATAGATGCTTGAAGAGATAACAAATGATACTGCTATTCATTCTCTTTTATTTTTTCATTTTTACTTTTTGGCTGAATATGTAAGATGAAGACTTGATATGGCTGGAATAATTCCTTTTTTCTGAAAAAACAACCTATATCTACATACACACTTGCTTTTGTTCTTTCAATTAGTATTCAAGGGAGAATAACTTACCCATCGTAGATATGTTATAATTAATTAATTTAATAAAAATATAGCAGTTAAAGTGTAGGTTTAGTTAAGAAATTTGAAATATAATGCTTTCATTGAACACTGATATTGTAGTGCGGTATTATGTAAATGATGTATACATGTAATGTACACATCTTTCAATAGTTTCTTTTTCCCATAGCCCATTCTTCCATCTAGCAAGGATTAATAGAAATATCAATTTGTCTCCAGTTAACAGATTGTTCATTATTCGATGACGAGGAACCCACTTTGAGACTAATAATGGCTGGAGACGGCTTGAATGGGTAATGAAGAAAAACTTTAATATAACAGCAAAAGT